TTTATGAGGTCAGACGTATGTGAAATCTTCAGGCTGAGAGTCATTGTCGGCCTCACCCGAGGGGTTCTACTTTGCCCAGACTACTACTCACAAACATAAGCCTAAGTTGGGCCCTTGAAAACTTTCGGGTTTCTCCAGAAGGGACAAAGTTATTTTAAGACTTTGCCATCACTTGGCGCAATACAGCATCGGTGAGAAATTATCCGTTACGGTCACCAGGCACATTTACGCGCCAGGCCCGAGAAGTCTGTTGCAGTCACTCTCCTGGCTGGGTGACCAGACGGGGTATTTTGTACTCCTGGCTGGGTGACCACATGGGGTATTTTGTACTGCTGGCTGGGTGACCACATGGGGTATTTTGTACTGCTGGCTGTGTGACCAGATGGGGTATTTTGTACTGCTGGCTGTGTGACTGCAAAGCGTTAACAAAATTACGTTATTATTATTCGACATATCTCCCCAACACATAGATACCTCCTGCAGGGAGACGAAAAAACATTTTGTGTCGTGTGCGAAGCTGACCTCACCCACTGGCATGTCCTTACAGAATATTCAGACTTTGGAGAGACCTGAAAGAAATATTTTAAATGCAGTAATTTGGAAAATTAATTCTCCATCATCGATCCTCGTAAAATTCTCTACTTTGTGAAAACTATTGGTACTTTTTTTCAAATGTATAAAACGACAGATTAAACCATTGAATTTTTACCATAAATCTATAACTTCAACACGAAGTAAAACTAGGGCTGTGCTGTGAGGTAACATGAAAACAGCCATCTTGAGTCCTGTGCCCTCATATATATCATGACCGTATGCCGTTGCCAGAGCCGTGTAAAACTCTTGCGAAACTGAACACAAACTCACCCATGGAAACGGAAGAACAAACAAACTCACAAGAAATCTTGGGGCAGAAGTCCGTTGTCCAGCTTGTCACGGTACTCCTCCGCCTGCTGCTCCAGCACCGTCCTGACCCGGCCCACCGGCATCTCCTTGGAGCTGGCACATCTCTTCAGGTGACCTTTACGACCCTGTTTAGAGCAGTTTTAGTAAGTGTTTTACAGCACTTGCAACACAATGTAAGTGCAAATATAAGTGCAAATATAAGTGCCGAAAATTAGAAGTGTTACAAGAGAGTAACGAACAAAATAAAGAAGGAGGGAAGATAAAGACGATAGCCATTTGATAGGAAAGAAGAAGCAAACCACACCAGAGCACCCGCCAACCACCCTGTCAAGACATACAGTCTTTGTTAGCAGGGATGCCACTGCCACTTTATACGAAAATATCTGAAAATTTACAAAGTTGCATTTGCAAACAAAAAGACAGTCCATAGACACAAAGTAAGGTGGCATCAAACAGAAAACATACACTGAGAAAAACAACCTTTCTTCTTCCTTCGCTTTTGGCTGTTTTGTTTAAGCAGAGGTTTTTATGGTGCTCGCAACTGCATAAGGTCATATGAGCGCCAAGGGGTGGATGTCAACAGAGAATTCCAAACGGGGAATCAGGTCTACTCTGCTCACCTCTCTAGCCGAAACGGTATAAAGTCTGCTTTGCCTATCAAGGCACCCTGGAAATAGCAGCTCACAAGAGAGTGACAAATATACTAAAGAAGTAGAGGAAAAAATGACGATAGTAGAGATGAGGAAAGAAAAAGCAGCAGTCCCTCTTAATGTTGTTCCGGCACAGTATGAGCATGACATTGATAAATCTGCCCATTTACAATTCTACTGTGAATAAGAACATGTTAGTATCCCCCTTTTGGAAATGGCCTAAAGATATTTCAGTCAGTAGCACTGCCCTTGGGGGGTGGGGGGGGGGCTGTTGGTGTGCAGTGGGGGGTCTATTCATTACCTACAACCCGTGCGCCAACCGACTGGGGGGTGGGGGTGGGGGGGTGCGCACCGTGGGGTCAGCAACTGACCTACATGTTATGACCCTGTTGCCCTCTACAGCCACTCAGGCCATACAAGCAGGCCACTCACCTTCTCGGACTTGAACCTCTGACCACACAAAGGACACGGCAGGACCGCATCCCGGGCAGCTTCCAGGTGCTCCTGGAGCTCTGAAGCTTCAGGGGCTCCGTCGTCAGTTCCCTACAACACCAAGTTACAAAGTCAGTACAGTGCAAAACCATGTTAAAAAGTCAGTATTGTACAAAACCACGTTAAAGAAAAGTCAGTTCTCTACAAAACCAAGTTAAAAAGTCAGTTCCCTTCAAAACTACGTTTAAAAAGTCAGTTCTCTACAAAACTACGTTAAAAAGTCAGTTCCCTACAAAACTACGTTTAAAAAGTCAGTTCTCTACAAAACTACGTTAAAAAGTCAGTTCCCTACAAAACTACGTTAAAAAGTCAGTTCCCTACAAAACTACGTTTAAAAAGTCAGTTCTCTACAGAACCAAGTTATAAAGTCAGTACAGTACAAAATCACGTTAAAATTTTACCGCGGCTTCAGCATTCTAAACTGGGGCGGTACTTGAGGGTTTTTCATTATATGAGCCTGTGGTACTGCAAGCGTTGAGGCCAAAAGATGGGGAAACAACCACAGTTTTATTTCTCTCTCAGACCAGCGATTTCAATGTCAGAGGAAGGAAAATGCGCATTCCCGAAAAAAACAACAACCCTGAATTGTAAGCATGAAGGATAGTTCACATCAAATCAAATATTAATAGAATATTGGGCACACAAACTGAAATAATGAAATAGGAAAAGCATCGAGTAATTCTTTTTTCAGGAAAGCGCATTTTCTTTCCCCTGACGTGAAAATCACATAACGGATTTTGTAAGAGGCAAAAATGATAGGGACAGAAGGACCAAATAGAAAGCGAAACTTCATGATTCTTTTTATTCAGTGATATAATAAGACCATCCTGTTTTTAAAATAAGGTTTAGTTAGTGATGCAACAGAAATTCTATAAGAAAACCCTTTTTTAAAAAAATAAGTAGAATTATTTTAAAAACCTAAGTGATTTATAAAAACCTTGAGTCAAAATGGACACACCCCAATAAAACAACACTTACAACTGCCGCAAAAGGCAGAGAACAAAAATTACTTTACTTTTATCCGCCACTTATACCCTTTTAGGTGTCGCGGGAAGAAAGAGACGTACGTTTCTCTGTTGCCAGCCGGAGAGCTTCTTGAGTCAGGGGGATGCCGTGGGTGGTTAATGTTTCCCTGACTCCATCTATCCAGGTCTTTCTCGGTCGCCCTCTAGCGAGCACAAAAATAAAAAAATAAAAGAGACGGAAAAACTCACTTTCTCCGCGCACTTGGTCATGTGATCCAGCTGTAGTTGGGAGCTCAAGAGAGTAAGATCCCTGCGGCAAAGCTTGCACTGGACTCTATCTGCATCGGGAACTTGTGCAGCTGCTGGTGAGACAGACAGTATGCGTAAGGTCGTTATGAAACCAGGGCGCTCGCCAAAATAATGAAAATGAAGAAAACCGTTGGGTAATTTTAATTGAATTTTTCTTTACTAAAAAAAAATAAATTCAGGGGGGGGGGGGGGAGGAGGGGTTAATACCTTTTATTTTATGTCTATTTAAAAACAAATTTTTTAAGTGGATCTTACTGAGGAATTTGATCAAAGGCACAAAAAAGATAAGTTTCCAGTTTCCAAGCACACTCAAGCTTTAGAAAGCACCAAACGTTTGCTGCCATTTTCTCGTTTATCTTACTTCTGACAACAGGCGACCCCCATCTCCTCCAAATGCAAATATCTCAACTTCTATTCAAGATAAATGGATATTTTTTTCAAAGCAAGACAAATAAACAAGCTGTACTGTAAGGTGATATCAATAACTCTAACTTTAAATGCTCACAAACTGATGTGTCGGTAGCCTAGAGGTTAGCTAGGCTACCGGACTCGTAATCGTGAGATTGCGGGTTCGGGGGTTCGAGCCTAAGCTTGGTCCGACGTCGTGTCCTTGGGAAAGACACTTTACTGACTGATCATGTATGGACCTGCCCGATATTCAAGGAGGTAAGAGTATTACTCAGACAACTAGTAATTTCATGGGTCTCAACCCAGAATTAAAAAAAGGAGGAACTTTCCGCGTGATCGCGTCAGAAAACCATTTTCGTGAGACACCCATTGTTATTATCATGGGTCTCAACTCAGAATTCTAAAAAAGGAGGAACTTTCCGGGTGATCGCCACAGATGCCCATTTTGGCGAGACACCCATTATTAGTCTACTGTTGAACCCAAAAATGCTGAAATAAAAACCATCAATTTATCAAAGCAAGGTTATTTCACACCAATTTGAGGGTTTGGGAGATAATTTCAAGTAAGAGTCACGTACTAAATATTTACAATCTTGATTACGTACAGAAAGAGGTGGCGCCTGGGGTCTTGTGCGACTTATTTATATTTTCCCTTCATCATATTTGCCTGTATATATAAACTATATAAAAAGAAATATTGTTTTGAGCCTAGAACCAGAATATCGACTGTCATGATTCATATCATATATATATAAAAAAGGCCTATATATACATATATATATAATAAACGTGAAAGACAAAAATTAATGCTCAAACTCAAAGTAGAGTAGAATAGCCCAAGTAGACCTATTCAGTGTGAGAGGTGTAAGAACTGTGGGAGGGCAAGATGCAGTGATACTGAAAATCTGCGAATCTTGAACAGAAAGCTAAAATATAGAGATCTAATTTACTGTCACCAATCCAATGAAACGCGAACACTTAGGCCCCTAAGTTCCATAACACGCTTACAAGTTATGACGGTTCCCGATTTCACACAAGGCCTGCACCAACGCACACTTTACTTTCCAGAGAGCTGTAGATCAGGTAGTAATCAAAATTCTAAACATTAAACATTTGCTTTCAGTTTCAGTTTCAGTTTGTCCTCTGGTGTTGTGTCCAGCCCTCCCCCTATCCCCGAGGGCGTCTTTAAAAAAAATTACTAATCTCCCCCATTCCAGAGTCCTATACTTCGAATTGCTCAGAACGCACGCAGGTTCATTGACCGGTCACAATGGCGTTTGTATAACTTTCTTTTCGTTTTTTTTTTCCCGGCGCAGTCTAGCCGTACTTAGATCTAGGTTTGGCCCTATAAGTACACAGGTCTCATTAGATCTAGATCTAGTAATTATTCAGGTTCAAATACATGCAAGTCAGTAAGGCACCTTTTGGTTTTGTCTGAAATACAAATACTTTAGGCATTGCAAACTAAAAATTTCATTTAAATTCAGCCATCAATATTAAGTACGGCTAGCCTGACAGTCTAGCCGTCCTTAAGTACGGCGAGCCTGGCTGTCTACCCGTACTTAAGTACCTAGACTTCCAGTCTAGCCGTACTTATTTAAGACCCTATAAACAATAGAAAACAGGATGTTTAAAATACATGCACTGTCATTAAGGCACCTGGTTTCGTCTCAAATACAAATACTTTAGGTACTGCAAACTAAAAAGTTATATTTACAATTCAGTAGGCCTATTTTTTTTAATGGTCAGTCTAGTCATATATTAAGAATAAGTACGGCTAGCCCAGCTGTCTAGTCAACCTAGCCTCCTCCTTCTTTTTTTTTTTTTTGGTGTTACCCCCACAAGTGACAGCACAGTGACAAATATTGACTTATTTTCAAGGCGACACCACGTTTGTAATGCCGAACCTGCATGTTACAATACATGTTGCGTCATCAGACAATTACTGACAAACTTCTGGGTGGTAACGAAAGCAAAAGTAGATCTTGATTTTCCAGTCGAGCCTCGGTGACACAATTCCGCTTGCCGCCAAAACCGCCAGTTCACGTGAAACGTACTCTCACTCAGAGGAGAATTAATATCACAATCGTGACCAGCAGAAATGAACTTAAAGATGTTATTGGATTTGGTCTTCAAATATTCGAGATCTTTTATGTATTTTCCCGGGTCTCTGCGATTTAAAAAAAATTCCCGGGGCCTGGCAGTCACCCTGCTCCCAACAACTCTCTTTCTGATTGGCCCGCTGTCGCGGTAGCGGAGTTTAGCGGAGGAAATGGCGGTAGCGGAAATCCGCTAAATAGTGGACTATTGCAACCCATGTATTAATTATACTGTTTAACCCTAGAATGCTGAAATAAAAACCATCAATTTATCAAAGCAAGGTTATTTCATACCAGTTTGAGGGTTTGGAAGATAATTTCAAGTAAAAGAGTCACTTGCCAAATATTTACAATCTAGATTATGCACAGAAAGTGGTGGCGCGTTACTGGGAGGTGCCCCTCCCAGCAGCGGAGTTTAGCAGAGGAGATGGCGGTCACAGAAATCCGCTAAGTAGTGGAATATTGAGACCCACGGAATTTAGGGTATAAACTCAAAGATACAAAGCAACAACAACAATAACAACAAAGAGGGGAGGTTTTGATGCTGACCTGATGTCTTGCTGAAGTTTGACCTCAAGCATGTGACGCAATGCTGACCTGATGTCTTGCTGAAGTTTGACCTCAAGCATGTGACGCAATGCTGACCTGATGTCTTGCTGAAGTTTGACCTCAAGCATGTGACGCAATGCTGTTCAAAGGAGTTGACAGCAACTAAAGCGTGGCATACGAGACACCTCTTCGTCGGCACGTTTGAACCAGGATCCTCCCGTTTGGCACTGAGCCCCGGCGGCCTGGCCACATTGCGGCTCTCTGAGGCAGCTAAATCTTCATTGTGTAGACTTCTGATCTCTCGACCTGCACTAGATGTCCCCGCCACTACCTCTGACTTGGCCCTCAAGTTTGTGGGATTCTCAGCGCAAATAAACACGACACAGTCGTCATCTGTTTTAATGGTTCCGCAGCTGGATGTGGATGTCTCGCCTGTAGACGTCTCTTTTCGTAGTTTCAGTTTCGATCTTCCGATAACTGGTTTTACGTCATCCTTGAAATCTTTGGAATCATCCTGATCACACAAGTCATTGAGAGTTTTTGCCTCTTTTAGAATCGGTCTTCGAAGCTTTTTTGCCTTCTCTGCTAATTTCTGGGCTCGACACTTTGCACTAGGTTCAAAGATAGCTTTCTTAGGGTCTCTCTTATTTTGTGAAGAAGAATCCAAAGGGCTGGACATTTTAACGCTTTGAAAAGCGAAAAAAAAAAAAAAATCAAACCTGCTTTAATTACAATGTACACTTTTTTTTCTCACGTTCTGTTTTTGTCACCACATGAAATGGCTGTTACGAATCTACCAGTTCACATTCACTTTAAAAAAGACAAAACAAAATGAACAAATCCAGTAAAAATCTGTTTACAGAAAAAAACCACCTTAAAAAGCCAGACAAAATCGATGAACAGTCCTCCTCATTCTGAGGACAAAAGAAACAGCAAAAAGGGTCACAACCAAAGAAATATACCTCACTTTCATCAGAGAAGCATGAGTTCAGACAATAGATTTTCTTTATATCCAAAAGCCTACCCTAGATTTAAAAAAAATAAAAAAATAGAGGTTTCATATTTGCCTGGGTTACAATTACGCTACCACTGAGCATCTTGGCATGGGCCTGTAAAGCATTTTGTACTGGTCTAACAGTAATTTACTGCCTCAGTACTTATTTCTGGAAAAACAAGATAAATCGAACTGGAATAAAATGTTTTCCTACTTGTTATCAGATATATATATATATATATATATATATATATATATATATATATATATATATATATATATATATAAAGAACAACTAGTACCGAAAAACATGCCCTAAACAACAACAAAATTATAGAAGAGTGGGGGAAATCTTCATCATGAGACTAAACGCAGCAAAATTTAAGCTGCCCATTTCTTTCAAGATAAGTAGTGTACAGCAATTCTTACTCTACGACGAGAGTTACTTTGCCAGCAAAACGTAATATGAAACAGAAATACTGACCAGTTCTTGCGGGGCGGCTCAGACAGCCCTGACCTGTCAAGCAAGATGGCTTTGAGTTCAAACACCTGCTTAGCTTTTTCATCCTCCATTCTCTCTTCTTCTTTTTTCTTTTCTTGCAGTGCAGGCATGTCTTTCATTGCTTTATAACTGTAAAATAAAAAAACAAAACAAAAATCACGAAAGAATCAATAAACCCCCCCCCCCCCCCCCCCACCTTCTCCCAAACCCCTGAACAAAACTCTTTGGAACAATCGGGAACAGGGATGAATCCTACAAAACCCTGTTAGGCCCCGACACTTAAAGAACCTGCCTCTTACATTATGTTGATAGGGAATAAAATATTTACAACAAACAAATGCATACTCACTACAGGGGAACACAGAAGGCAACAGTGAAAGCGACCATTCCTGCAAAAATGTAATGTCTGACACGCAGTGCCTTGGTTCCTTTCAGGTAGTCCTTGCGTTTGATTTCCTTCATCAGAACCATGATGCTACCTGCCTGGTTGTCACTTCCCAGCTGTTATCTAGGATTAAGGGTACAGGAAAACAGATACTAAATGAAGATGAATATGAAATACAGTGCGACAGGGATAGCTCCAATTTTCGTCAGGACTGACCTCGGTAGCTGAGGGATATCTTTCAAAGAGAAAGAAAAAAAAAGGGACTGCAGGCACAGTTCGACAAATGCGTGATTACGAGTCTTCTGTGTTCGACTGATTATCCGTCTTATACCGTAATTATCCGCTTTTCCACCACACAACAGGTTACGGGTAACTTGCATTTCATTTTGATGAGAAAGACAGAAAGACTATTTCAGAGACCAGTCATGTTCCAGAGTATTAAAACTAACCCCTTTTCCACTCAAGTTTCTGGAATTGATTCTTAATACGAAAGAGCTTTATTTCATTACACACCCCTGCACTGTTAAAATATGATACTGACGGTACAGCAGGGCAAAGTTACATTAGTAAGTTTAATAAGGACAGTACAAATCAGACAGTCGTTAGATGGCGGAGTAAAAATATTATGTTCATGATGATATACAGGCATTCCTTTTCATACATTTGCAAAAGGAAGGATTTCCGCAGAGGGCTGGCCGACCAACAACACACAAAAGAGGAAATATTTTGAGCGGGGAATCCCACTAACCCTAACTCTTGTAAAGTTTGCTCTGTGAACCTTGTCACGGTAAGTGCTGGCCCTCTGCGGAACTCCTCCCTCACAAAACCTGGCGGAAGCAGGGTAACGGTGGCTGCGGTTATATCAGGAGGCTATTTGTCAATATTTGATTAATTATACAATATATTATGTGACATGGTTTGACTGGCTGTAGTTTTACTCTTTAACACAGAGAAACACAGAGCATAAAGTTATAGTACTTAAGCTTTTCAGTGGCAAGATGGTCAGGACAATTCACTGCCCAAAAAAGATTTAAAAGATTCGATCTGACAATTTTGGCCATGGAAGTGGTGGTATTCTCACCCCGGGTGAGAATAACCCATGTCTCGCCCCGGAAATTACCCTCGAGGGATCAGGGCTGTGTGCTGATGCTCCACAGCATCATGTTCGTGTCCAAATAGTCGCAGTCAGGGTTGTCAGTTTGGAGCCAAATCCCAGAAATTGGGCTCTTTTGGATCGTGTCCCGTCCGGAGAATTTCATTAGGCTCTTTTTCTCTTTTTTGGCTCTAAACTCCAAAAGTTCAAGAAGAAAGGAAAGAAGAGGAAAGAAAAAAAGAACAAGAAAGAATAAGAAAAAAAAAAATGAAAGTGAAGAAAAGAAGAGCTTGCTTTTAATAATTAAACTAATTAACACGATTTAACGCCCTCGCCCATTTGGTCTGAATCATTTAGATCTACAACCCTTCTACCGTCGTGAAAGAGCATTTGTTGTGTCGTTACCTTTGTAGGCCTACACGCTCTCTGTTTCTTAAACCTTAATTTATAGGGTGCAGGCAGAGAGTTGAGAGTCCGGCCATCGTAAAGTGTGTTTAAAACAACTAATGACTAATGGTCCGGCCGGCGATCGGTCCCACATCCCGCTCATGTAGTAGCGTCGGTAGTCAGCCTTTTTTTTTTACTGGAGAGGCGAAACATGTTTTTACATTATTATTACTTGTTCCCAACCACATGCGGTAAACCACCAAAGGCCTAGGTGATTTTATCTGTCTGCGAGAGGGGGGAGTCCTCGCCTCATGCCCACACCGGAGTGGGAGCTATTCTCACCAGGGGAGGGGGGGGAGGGTTGAGAATAGCGAGTCATGAGTTATTCTCACCCGAGAATATCTAGACATGGGTTATTAAAGGTGGCCTTTGACCATAAATGTCTTTTGAGTTACTAAGACTAAGACCTATAGCTTAGATCTCTATTGACATTGAATTCATATATATATATATAATATAGATCTAGATTCTAGATTAGATCTCTACTAACTAATCTAGGAATCTAGGAGTCTAGGCTACACAAAACACTTACTTACCAAGTTTGCTTTAAATAGCTTGACCTAGAATAGATCTGCTACTTGATCAATCACAGATAAGACAAAAAGGCTAAGCCTTGTAGTAACCTCGTTAGAAAGAAAGAAAATTATTGAAACAGAAAGTAAGTCGAGTAGGCTGCTATGCTCCAGCCAGATTTCAATTTCGGTGACCTGTACTGAAGGCCTCTTGAGACGACTTCCGTCTCTGCTCTCTGTTTTGATTCGAGCCTCAAGGCTTTGGTGATCTAAAAACAACAACAACAAAAACACTCGCTAAAAGCTGTTCGTTTGTAGCATTAGATCCAGGTCTAGTGAAGCAGTTATTGTTTCTTGGGAACTCATGGTCATAGCACTAACTTGCTTACCATGGCACCAGTCCCAGTCTTGAATTCTGTTGATCTCTTCGAATTTTGTTCGTACCATCCTTCACTTTCAGGAAAAGCCAGGCAAGGCAAGGCAGGCCAACTCCTGGCCAAGTCGTAACTTTCGAAACTCACGGGGGAAAAGACTTACCCGGTGTAATAAAAAAATCTATTTCGCAGAAAAAAACTTCCACGCAACAATTTCACTGTAATGCATACTTCACTCTAATATATATATATATATATATATATATATATATATATATATATATATATATATATATATATATATATATATATATATAAAACTCTCACACCCCAGGTCATCTAAGAGAGGAGAGAGAAATTTCACACTTTAACAAGATCTCACTGGAAATATATATCACCTGTATGTGTGTATAACCCGCGTCATATCTGTTCTTAGTTCTTCTACTCTTGAAGTGAGGAAAGTGTATTTCAAAATAACACTCACGCACTCTATTTTGAAATGTGGGCCAGTTACACATTCACACAAGCACATAATAATAAAAAACAATATATATATATATATATATATATATATATATATATATATATATATATATATATATATATATATATATATAAAACTCTTACACCCCAGGTCATCTAAGATTGAAGTGAGAAATTTCAAACTTTAACAAGATCTCACTGGAAATTTATATCACCTGGATGCCTGGATAACCCGCGTCGAATCTGTTCTTAGTTCTTCTACTCTTGAAATGAGGTAAATTGTAGTTTCAAAATAATACTCAGGCACACTATTTTGTAATGTGGTCCAGTTACACATTCATACAAGCACATAATAATAATAATAATAATATATATATATACATGTGTGTGTGTGTGTGTGTGTGTGTGTGTGTGTGTGTGTGTGTGTGTGTGTGTGTGTGTGTGTGTGTGTGTGTGTGTGTGTGTGTATTTATTGGTTTTATCTTCATTAATTGCAAGTTCTTCGCGAAATCAAACGCGAAAATATAAACCGGTATTCCACGCATGCGACCTACCGGCAAGTTTTAGTCTACTAAGAACTAGGCCCTACTTTCAGTTTCGGATTGCCATTTTGGTAATCTCAGGGGCTGCTGGTCAATCAGTGACTATAGCCCTTACACAAAGAGGTTGCTGTGGCTCTTGCTTTGTCCATGGTGCGCTTGACGCAAAAAAACAAACTTGAACAAAGTGATATTAGTATACTTCAAATACTATTCTGATGACTGCTGCTTATCAATTATCTGTCCAAAGCGATCAGTTGGTAAAGAACGTAGGCATAGCTGCGAAATAAAAAATTTAATGTAGACTCTAGGCTTTACTTGTTTTTATTTTTCTGGTAGCCAAACTGTCAACTCAAAGGTGAAAGTTGAAACTCAAGCAAAACAAAGTCATTCAACAGTGAAGGCTCCCTTTTCAAAGCTCTTCTTGCACTAATAATGAGACTGTTTCTAATATAATTTTGTTCACTGATATCCAGCAGTATCCAGCCTGGAGAAGTGCTGGTACCACTGATAGTACAAGAGGGCAATGGCTGCTTTGAAAATTCTAAAAAATTTATATCAGTATGCTTTGATAATGAAACAAAGCTTTTCAGAAGACGTGAAGCTGTGGGATGCTGTGTCAATTCGAAACGCAATGAAATGGGCTGACTATGCCCAGGAGGTAGAATTCTAGACTAGACGTAGATCTAGATTCTAGACTAGATTAGATTACCTTTTTACCTTAGGCTTGGATGTAGGCTTATTTCGTTTCAGTAAATTAGACTGAGTAGGCAAAGTGGTGATCTTGTAGTTCGGTTCGTTAAAGTCCACAATCCATTTGTTTACATCCAGAGAAGAGAACCGGAAGTCTTGATGACCAAATAGGCAACACAAAGAACAGGGATGCAGCCTAGGCTAACCGCAAAACATCAAATTACTCACCTCCACCCCACCCCCTTGATGTTTTTAAAAGTAAAAGCCTGAAGCCCCCACTACTCTTGACTCGTGGGGCCCAAGCCAGCGAATAATATTAATAATAATTTGGGGGGATGGGAACTGCCGAAAAAGCGCAAGGTATTCTTTGTTTGAATTTGGATTTTCTGGCTTTAGTTTTAGTGTTTCCTTCCAGTCTCACGCTTAGTTTACTCTTCAACGATTACCTGGCATTTCAGAGTCTCTGGCGTTCAGCTTTGGACATTAACTAACGAAACTACAAAATCCCCGACAAAATATCTTTAGGCCAAGTTCGGTTTCCCTTTGAAAACGGTGCTCATATAGTAGTAGTGTTGGCAGTTGGGGGGCTCATTGAAAATCCGTTGAAAATTTCCTTCCCGTTTGTTTACATTTGAAACAGAAGTGATTGCGATGGTCAAAAGGGGCCATGTAGGCTAAGTGAACCCTACGTCACATTAGCCAGCAATATTTTTCTGCCTTTTAAAATTTTTGTAATCGAAATTTATTTTGGCCGGATTGAACTTCGGAATGCGCACTTACCATGGTAACCGGTCATTTCGTCACACGGTCATCTCGTCAATCCCCAATTAATTATGTGTGAAAAAATGAATTCCCTTGTCTCTCGAAAATTGTTTTATATTCCAAGAAGGGCAACGTTTCCCCAGAAGTAACCCGACCCAATGCATTTTCCATTTATAGGAATGCTGATATTTTCGATTGAAAAAGGTCTGGGCCTATGCCCTACATATTGATGTTTTCAAGTGTGTGACGAAATGACCCTGTAACGAGATGACTGGGACGTCTTGACTGCACCGGTGTGACGAAATGACCTTGTGTGACAATATGACTGGTATTCCTAGCCATAATAGTGGGGGGGGGGGGGGGGGAGGGGGGGGGACATTAACATATTCTTATATAGTATAGAGAGTAGAATTGTAAATGGGCTGATTCATCAATTGCATGCTCAAAACTGCCTGAACTGCGAAAAGGGAACTGCTGCCTTTTCTTTCCTAATCCTTACTATTGTCATTTTGCCTCTACTCTACTTTTTAAATTCTTTTGTATGTTTGTCACATTCTTGTGAACTACTATTTCCGGGGTGCCTTGATAGTAGAAGCAGACTTTGTGCTGTTGAAGCTAGAGAAGTGAGCTGAGTAAACCCAATTCCCTGTAAAAATGACTTCTGTGTTGACATCCACCCCTTGGTGCTCATATGACCTCGCCGTTGCGAGCGTCGTAAAATCTCTAATAAAACAGTAGTAGTGTAGACAGTTGTTGAGTAATCTCGTAGTACCAGTCTTCGCATGCAGGATCCCTCCGCCTATAATCCTGGTTCGCTTTTAGACTTGAAATCTCGCTGTGTTTATAGAAGAAAACAACATTTTTATTATGCAAAAGTCATCCTTAAGATCCTGCTCTGAAGGACCCCATTCGGCTAAAATCTCGCATTTCTGATAATAAATTACACAACAAAAGCTCGGGCGGGCACAGCTGGTCCACTACTAAACTAAGGCAGGCTACCTGTTACATCACAGATCAGCCACTGTCATGGATGTGATCACATCTCCGTTGCATATATCTTGATGAGAAGGTAGTGTTTGCTCCAGAGAAGACCACCCCAAGGTGTAACATAAACTCTTCAAAATGCGTTTATTTTCCTCAAACATCGCACTCGTACCTGGGCTGTCCACTTGAATTTTAATCACAAGCTGGGTGGGTAGGGCCAACGAGTCCGCATCAAATGGGATCACATCAATCTGTGAACTCTTCTGTGCTTTTGTCTCCCTGCCCATTATTTGCACAATTGTCTCCACTCCCGAATTTGCGAGACAAGACAGCCTGAATTTCAATTGGTGCGGTCATAACACTTGGTGTGTTACGACAGACTCTGGTGAACTTGGCCAGAGATGAAAAGCAAATATAAATAAGTTAAACAGGTAGAGTGGAGGAGCTATAGGATTGGTGCAGATCTTCTTGACACTCACAATAGGATGAAAGTGACAATGTCTCATGACATGATGCCATTGTGATTGGTTATCAAGGTTGCCCACTCTTTGTTTGCCATGAGTCATATAAACCCACCCAGAGATCACTTCTATACCTAGGTTTTTGTCTGTGTCTGAGAAGACTGAATAGAAAGATACTAGTAGCTAATTAAATTTATCTGACCAGTGTGTAAAATAAGGGTTGTGGTTACATTTTTACAAAATGGGAAAAGCTCAAAGCAGAATGTTCATTCTTGTTTTAATAAAATTTGCTGGTTACAGATCCACAGCCTTTTGAAAGGTGGACCATTTGAAAATGATGTGGATCATAAGCTGTGTGAGATGACCTTGCTGAAACGCCCTGTCTCCTGTCTCACTCTCACAGTTGACAGCTTGGGTCGAGCAAAAGAAATACTCACTGAGGTTTGTATTTTTCTGATCTCGGCAAGCGGTTCTGCAGACTTTCTGGTAAATCTTTGTTTTAAAAAACACTCAGATTTGGCTTGTACGATGTAAAATTTATCTTCCTACAAGTACTTAAGACTGTTCCAAGTGTCTTTAAATTTCTATTAAATGGGGGGGGGGGGGGGGGAGAGATAATGTAGTCGCCTTTTATGTGTAGGGATTTTGTAATTAAGGACCTTAAGCCTCCACCGGAGATCATCATAGTAGAGACAGAATTGCCTTGCAACAGCACTGGAGATACAAGTACACACTACACCCTACACACAGAGCATGTCACCCTCTCGCCAACTGCTCAACGAAATTTTCCCTTTCTCCCACGCACGACTTCGTGAGCTTGTGTTTGTGTCATCCATTTGCTCCCTTCCCGACCATCCCATCTTGGCAAATCTTCATCATCTTGACCCTCCACATGGATGGAATTTTTTTGTTTTGTTTAGAAAAGTGGGTAACTGTGAAAGCATTGTCTGTGATTTACTTCTCTGTGAAAATAAATACTTCACTTTTTTGTTTCTTCTTACTTTTTCCTGCCTCTGTTACTTTTTGGGTAGAGGGAAGAGGCAAATATTTTTCTCTCGTTAGTATGTACAGTATTACACAGATAGCTCAAATTCGTTGAGACTGGCCTTGGGAGTTTGAGGGATCCATAGTTCGAGGGATATCTTACAAAGATAAAGAAGAGAGAAAAAAAACGGGACTGCAGGCGCAGTTCGACGGATGCGTGATTTTGAGTGTTCTGTATTCGACTTATCCGTTTTATACTGTATTTATCAATCTTTTCCTGGGCCTCCCTCTTCCTCTTTGGAAATATATAAATTTTTGATGAAATTGCTTGTTGGATACACATCTGTTGATATAAAATTTTCTATTTTAAATTTAATGTATCATCCTTTTGTTTTTCTGATTCAGAACCTGATGAGCAATCCTTACCTCAAGGGGACGGTGAGACATGAGCTAATCACTTTGTTACAGAACAACCCTGAAGATGCACAGATTTTACAAAAGGTATTTTATTTTTTTCAAAGAAATTATAAAAATGAAATGAGAAATAAAGGGAGATTAACAGTTTGCACACTTCAGGGTACAAGTTCTCCATTTATAAGATTAGGCTGAGTAAGAAAGGGATACTTTTTTTTGCTTCACTTTCAACTTCAAGTTTCTTGGAATATATATTTTTTTTTAAATTATGAAAGTTTTGGCTCCTCCGATACTTGAGCTTGTGTGAGGACTGCTGGTCCGCTGACGACTGAAGGAGTCAAACGGAAACAGTGTTCATTCTTCAAACACTTTTCTAGGGAGCTTTCATTATTTGCAAAATGGGACAGACCACAGGGGACGTTCTGTTGTTAGCTCAGTTTGCATCATGCTTGACTATGGAGCGGATGGCCCTGGTTTGAATTCCAGACGGGATGTTCTTGAACTCAGCCCATATTTAGCTTGGTTCTGTTGGAAACAGATGGTAATCGTACAGGTACCACCTCTTAAATGACCTCCAAGTAGTGTTAGAAAGGCTGTTTTATAACCTATACACTTATATAGACAACAGGCCAGCCGGGCCATAGATCATAGTACTTAATGCGTGTAGTCGTATATAGTACTTTTATACTACCTGGTGTTACTGAGAGGTAGATTCTGTCAGATCTGAACAAGTTTGCACGGCTCCTTTGAAGTTTCTTTAAAACTTCATTATAAAAATATTGGCCTTGTAGTATTAATTTTTTAATCAGTGTAAATCAAGAGGAACTGGCAAGCGTTCTGAAATTAGCTAAGCTAAGCTTGCATAGAGGTATGTTGGAAAGATTATCAAGCAGCCATTGCGTGGGTGCCGTGCGTCGTGTGTAATATGTAGGGCTTATCTCTGGCAGCTTATTCTCCGGCGACACAGCAGGGAAAATTTACTTAATAACGACCGTACAACTCAGATAGATAGTGGATTATAATCATAATGATAATATATATATAACATTTCTATAGCGCATTTTCAAAAAAAGGCAGCTCAATGAGTTTTACTTTCCAACATTTTTACACCTCTAGATGAAGCAAATCAAGGGCTTTCACGTGATATTAAATTCGTAGAAATCACTTGTCATAATCCCAAAAAATGCCGAAAAATGCACTGAGCTGTTTCTGCAGCCCGTTAGGCGCTTGAACACAATGTACTTGTATGGCGGTGTAAAGGCTCAAATAACATGTTTTTACAGGCGTTCTTTTTCGTACATTGGCAAAAAACGGTATATCAATTATAGTGTGTCACAGTACATCGAGGTTTGACTGTACTTGGGAATTTTTCAACCCTAACTTCGAAAGAATGTGCGCAATGCATTAAAATTTGCCACATGAATGCTTTGTATCAATGCAATCAAAATTAATGACAGGGGAAAAAACTTCCATAAAGTCATTGCACAGGCTGAGAAAAAAAGGGTCAGTGTTCAAACTTTTGTAGCACAGTCATGTTTCACTTATGAAAAAGTTTGTTATTGTAGATCTAAGATATTGTCTTAAAGTGACCTAAGCAGAGAATCTCATTTATATAGTGATGGCTTTTAAATTGCCAGAGATCTGGTTTTTTATGTTCCTTCTATTCCAGGATCAGTGTTGATGTATAGTCTCGACAAAATATCAGTCATGAGATGTTTAAAAAATTAACGTTAGGTGTTCTTCTCTTGCCATATATAAACTGTGTATCTTTTGTATCCTTTTTGTTTTTGAAGGTGCAGAAGAATCTAGAAACGGCTCGCTGTGACCGAGATACCGTTGACAGGTTGCTAGGTGCTCTGAATTCCTGCCCTCCAATTCCAAGCTGGCTGGAAGTCAGTGGAGACAGATGGCCGAGCTTGTATCAAACAAAAATGTTGTTACAGCATTTACTGCACGTTTGTCGATACGAGGAGAAAGAGGAAAGGTGAGTTGGGTGGTTGGCAGGTGCTCTGATGTGGCTTGATTCTTCTTTCCTATCAAAAACTATCGTCCTTCTCTCTCCTCCTTTTTTTGTGTTTAATACTCTCTTGTACCACCTCTAGTCTTCGGCACTTATATGACCTTATTGTGTTGCTAGTGCTGTTGTTGTTATCGATCCAGCAACAGCTGGGCTCTCGCTAGTGCCGTAAAGCTTTTAAAAAACTAAGAATAGGAAAGTGAGTACCTACCTTTGGCTGGACCATGTGTGAGCTGCTGGAGGTTTTCCTTGACTTGCCTCTCTCCTGCAGGTGGAACAGATGGAGTGTTTTTGTGTTGTGCTCTACAGACGTGTGTGGAGGAGAGGATGTGTGAGAAAGTGTGTCGGTATATGGATCATATAGGGCTCCTCGGATTTCTATTGATTTCAAACTAAGGGGGAGAAAATTTGACCCCATCTCATGGGTTGGTTGTTTTTCTTGCAAAGCGTAATTTCCTAATGTCCTGTCTTGTTATTGTAACATCCACTGCCATTGTAAACTATCAAGACAAATTTCTCCTTGTGAGATGAGTAAAGATTGTCATTATCATTGTAAATTCCTTCTCAGCAGCTCATATTGTTTTAAGTTGTTGCCTTGCACTTAATTCCCTTCAAATGTTTTCCCAGATTGGAAAACTACCTCGTTGTGTTGCTGGACCAAGTGTCGGAGAACAGAGGTTGGGTATGTTTTCATCTTTTCTTTCTTTCTTTCTGTCCGTTGTGTGTCCACTGCAGGATGTAGCCCTCCACTAATCACCTCCACTCTGTTTTCACAATGCTGGAAATTATACCACTCATATATGTATCTTTATTCTGGTTTATTGTTGGTTCATTATGGATTTCTGTACATTTTGCACTTCTCTATCATGTTCAGGTCTCTACCTTGTTTTGGAAGGATTGTCCTGTTCAAAATGAGAAAGAGTTGTCTTAGTCGGCATGCTCCTTTGCCAGAAGGAATTGTCAATGTACCACATAGCCCTTATTGAGTTCTGAATAATTGTATTAATGTTATTTTTAAAAAAAATAATTTAAGGAGTAAAAGAAATGGGTTTTTTTTTTTCAAGGATTCTGTTGAGTTGAGAATTAGGTAGTGCTGAAACAGAAAGAAGCCTGCATAGGCCAACCACTAATATAATAAAGACTATTTGGAAGAGCGAAATGCAGTTCCTGGGTCACCTGAATCCATATATAAGAGCTTCAAACATTTTGCTCCAAGTGGAAAATTAGAAGGCGAAAAAGGCAGGGTAAGATCAAGGGCAGCTAACTTATATTAGAAACTGAACAGATGGGTGATGAGGAAAGACCAGGATAGTTGAGGCTTTTTGAGAGCAGATCTCAGCAAAAAAACAACTAATGAGGAACCATAGTTGGCAATACCTGCTTCAGGCCTGTCACTTCAAATGATGATTATCTTCTTATTGTTTTTCCACCAACTTATTTAGCAGGAAAATATGGGTACCTTGCGCCTTCAGATAGACCCTGAGAGTCAGTCTGATAGACCCAGAAAAAAATCTCCTTTGTATTCTATTGTTCTTCAAAAACTGCGGAGACATTCAATAACTTTATGTTCATTAGCAAAGTCTTTTGAGAGTGCACTGTGTTTTATTTGGGTGGAAGGGGGGGATGGGAGGGGCAGGAGCCTCCACATTTTCATTTTCCTCCAGGTAATGCTATAAACCACCATTTTGCTATCTGACTATAGACCAACAAATTAAAAGCTCATCTCTACTTTGCTTAGTTATTAACCCTCAAGAACTGTATGTGCCATATTTAGCACATTAAATTGTGAAAGTAATATCTAAAAATAGTTAGCCTGGATGAACCATAATTCGGTGTTTAATATCAGACAAGAACTTACTGTCTAAAAAGAGACCCATGATAAATTTTTCTAAAATAAGAGTGAAGTTTATCTAGTTGATAAATTTTCCATGCACCATTTCAACTTTCAATTTTTCTTTCACTGTGCAATTAACTTCAGGGTCTAGAGGGGCAGGGGGTTAGAGGTGCCAGTGGTAGGTCCTACTTCTTTACTGTCCCTCTGTTGTTTCTTTCTGTCTGTGTGTCTGTCTTACTTTTTCCCAGCACTAAATGACCATTATGGTGTCGATGTGCTTCTCTTTACTCTAACAAGCAAAAACAGACAAAGTAGGGTCTTGAAGGCTATTAATTTAACCCTATCCGTGTCGTATCCATACGACGTGGGGAACTCTGCTATTAATTTAACCCTATCCGTAGGTGGTGTTTTACTGTCGTATCCATACGACGTGGGGAACTCTGTGGCACCACTTTCCAAAGAGGAAATTTACTCGTTAATCCGATCCGTACTCTTTGCATAGTAATCTGTCAAATGGATTTTTTTTTTGGAGAAATCCTGAAAGTTTCAAAAAGAATTTTGTACTAGAAGTATTCTAAAATGTGAAGAATACAACCCCTGGGGTACAAAATGACTCCCGGGGGTTAAAGAACAGCTATCAACCATGGCTTTTTACCATAGGTGTCTCCTTCACGATTCCTATACAGGACGTTGCTACAAGTTTGATTTGTCTTCTGTGCGAAGAGGAAGACTCGAACCCCGAATGCTGTTCGACGGTTCTGAAGTGTACACTTGGCTGGCTGTCCAGAGACTTGAGTGACATCGATTGTGAGAGGTAACTCAGTAACTAACTGCTCTACGCTGGCGCTTCTTTTGCCGTGAAAATGTTTTGTATGGGTCTCAATGTACCGCTATTTAGTGGATTTCCGCTAAACCACCACTTCCTGGACATAATCAAGATTGTAAATAATTGGTAAGAGACTCTTTTACTTGAAATTATCTTCCGAACCCTCAAACTGGTATGAAATAACCTTGCTTTGATAAATTGGTGGTTTTTATTTCAGCATTCTAAGGTTAAACATTAAAATGAATATGGATGTCTCGTGAAAATGGTCTTCTGTCGCAATCACACGGAAAGTTCCTCCTTTTTTAAGATTCTGAGTTGAGACCCATGGTTTTGTAAGATGACAAAAGATTTTTTAAAAGGCTGTTGTTATGGCTATTTTGTAATTACTTGAAAGCATTTTTATAAACTTATAATAATAGTATTTGTCTAAGACAGCCACCTATTGCCGAGAAGAAAAATGGTCGTGTTAGTGTTAGATATAGGTGGACGTCTAACACGCTGTTATTGTATTGTTCAAAAACAAAAGGGGGGAGGAGAGAGGGGGGGTCTTTGTTCAGATCAAACAACAACAATGACACTTTTATCATCACTAGAAGATCGCCTAACTCTTATTTCTTTTTTAACCCCATCCGTATGTCGTGTTTTACTATCATACCCGTACGACGTGGGGAACTCAGTACCACCATTTTTCAAAGAGGAAAGTTACTCGTTAATCCGATTTGTATGCTTTCCATAGCAGTCTGTCAAAATGATTTTTTGAGAAATACTGAAAGTTTCAAAGAGATCTCCGTACTAGAAGTATTCTAAAATGTGAAGAATACAACCCAGGGGGTACAAAATGACCCCAGGGCGTACGTATAGGGTTAATGCTTACAGGGCGAGTAAACAGATTTGGATGTACTCATTTTTCTAACAAATGAGCAGCATGTGCATATATGTTTTTTCGTTTCAAACATGCTGTCAGAATGTGTCTTGTGCAGAAATACACAGTTGTAATGACTAATTTTCTCGTTGTTCTGTCTTTTTCTTCCCCGGCCTCAGAATGTTGAGCTCCATGAGCCCGGCTCAGGCCGCGCGAGCAGCAGCTTCCTGTGAGCCATTTCTTCAGCTCTACTTGCGGGCGCTGTCTCTGTGGGCTGACCGTTTCCTCCCCTTCGTTGACCATCTGGGCCGAGTCACGTGGAGGTATTTTGGTCTGATTAGATGTCTGTTTTAACCCTTCTAATATGGCTGTGAATGCTGGACAATCACTAAAGACAAAGACAGTGAAAATAAAATAGAAGCAACAGAAATGTGGTTTCTTAGGAGACTGCTGAGAATATCGAGGAAGGAAAAGAAATCAAATGAGGTAGTGCTCGATGAAGCCCACGTGGGACGTTCACAGTTAAAAACAATCAGGAAACGACAAATGCAGTCTTTGGGACACCTGAATAGACACAAAGGTCTTGAACATCTAGCTCTCACTGGCAAAGTTGAAGGCAAATGAGGCAGGGGTAGGCCCACAGCAACCTACTTAGGTAACCTAAACAAATGGGTAATGAGGAAAGATCAGGGAAACATAGCTTTTTTAAGAGCATCCAAGCAAAGGAATGAACGGAGACCCATGATCGATGATGTCTGCGGCAGATCTGGCCCTGGATGAATGAATGAATGAATGAATGAATGAATGAATGAATGGATGAACGAGGTTACTGTTACCTCTGCTGCTCCTACTTTCTTATCAAACGTCTATCATCCTTATCTCTCCTCCTCCTTTTTTGTGTTTATTACTCTCTTATAACACCTCTAATCTTTGGTACTTATATGACCTGATTGTTTTGCTAGTGCTATAAAACTCTTACTAAAAAAACAATCATGCCAATAACCTAAAAATAAAACACATTTTTTTATTGTGTAAATGTACCTATATAATCATCATCATCATCATCATCATCATCAATGCCTTACTTTCACCCCTGGCAGGGTATAGGCCACATACAAGCTCCTTCCATTTATCTCTGTCCTGAGCCATCCTTCCAAGCTCGTTCCAAGTGAGCTTCATTTCTCTCATGTCCCTTTCCACACATCTCCTCCATGTTTCCCGTGGCCTACCCCTGCCTCGTGCTCCTTGTGGGTTCCACTGCAGTGACTGTCTTGTGATGTTTCCGCTGGGCTTTCTTAAGGTGTGTCCCATCCATCGCCACTTTCTTAGTCCTATTTCTACTTCTATATCCTTTTGTCCTGTCCTTTCCCACAGCTCTTCATTTCTTATTCTATCCTGCCACTTAATTCTTAGAATACTCCTCATACATCTGTTGATGAAAGTCTGGACTTTATTCCGTACTGTCTTCGTTGTCTTCCAAGTTTCGCAGCCGTACCTATATAATGCAGTCCAATAAAAGGCAGTCCATCTGAGATCCACCTCAGATGGGTGGCTGGCGAGTGCTCCGGTGTGGTTTGCTCCTTCTTTCTGATCAAACATCTATCGTCCTTATCTCTCCTCCTTTCTGATCAAACATCTATTGTCCTTATCTCTCCTCCTTCTTTCTGATCTAACATCTATCGTCCTTATCTCTCCTCCTCCTCCTTTTTTGTGTGTTACTCCCTTGTAACACCTCTAATCTTCAACACTTATATGACCTTATTGTGTTGCATGTGCCGTAAAACACTTACTAAAACTAAATTAACCTAAATTGTGTTGGAAGTGCCCTAAAACTCTCACTAAAATTGAAAAGAAATAAAAATTTTAAAAAAACGTGACCCCACTTTTCCCCAGGTCTCCCACCTCAAGCTCCACATCCTCTGATTTCACACAGCATTTGGAGAAGTTGCTCCAGCTGTCAGACGTCTCCCCGAGGGCGCGGACGGACACGTTGGGTCTGATCACTGGCCGAGTGAGAGACTTGGAGTACAGTGTGTGGTCTCACGTCTGCCACACTCTGCTGCAGACACTCAAGAAAGGATAGTCACTTCTTAGTATTCTGGCGTAGAAATCATTTTTTTTTTTCTCCTAATTTTATCTTTTTTTTCCCCCCCACCCCCTTTCTTCTTACTGCTGTGTTCTCCTCCTCCTTATATATCCTTTCTCTCGTTTCCTAATGTTTCCTCTTTTTCTCTTTTTTCTTTTTCTCTTTTTTCTTTTTCTCTTTCTTTCTTAATTTTTCTCTTCCTAAATCTTCCATTTCTTCTCCCCAAGTTTCGTTTTCTTCTTTTCTCTTTTGTGTCCCTTTCTATTGATCTTCTTATATATTTATATTTGATAGTCGAAGCAGACTTTGTGCTGTTGGAGCTAGAGAGGTGAGCAGTCTAAGTCTGATTCCCTGTAAGGACTTCTCTGTTGACATCCACCCCTTGGCGCTCATATGACCGTATGCAGTTGTGTAAAAACTCTACTAAAACAAAAGGACCGTTCCTCTGTGGAGCAATGGTGTTCATCTTTCTGTGCATTGTCTTGTCTTGTCAATATTATAGAATGTGATATTATAGGTTCTGTTGGTGTCGAATTGATGTGATTTTTTCTTTTCTTCTGTGATAATCGGGGCCTTGTGCCTGGCAAAGACCCGGATAGTGGATGGTTGACGGGTGCTCTGGTGTGGTTTGCTTCTTCTTTCCTATCAAACTTCAAACATCTATCGTCCTGATCTCTCCTCCTTTTTCATGTGTGTTTGTAACTCTCTTATTGTAACGGCTCTAATCTTCGGCACTTCTATGACCTTATTGTGTTGCAAGTGCCATAAAACTCTTACAAAGACTTAAAAAAGGACCGTGGTGCTGGAATGTTTTAGAAATTTAATTTTTGCCTGTACTGTGTGTAATGTAATGTAAGCTGTATACATATTATATTGGCCTGTATAGATCTCTAATATTCACCATGGAATGTGTATGCCCAGTGTTGCCCTACCATATCGGTAAAGTGTTGTTATCAAAGAAATGTACTTTCATGTTGATTGTTGAGATGAATAAATTGTGTTGATGATTTAAAACTCAAATACAGTCCAGTCCATTTATTATTACAGCCTCTGTTATTACAGGAACTTGGATTAACAGTGATCAATCAAATCCCCGTTTCAATGAGATGCAACGAGAACTCGGATTCGACCAGGGGATATGGATTCCTCATTCTTTTCTTTTTTAAAATCATAAAAATAACCCCGATTCAACGAACACTTAAATCAGCAAGCTCGGATTCAACGAGGTCACTTTCAGGGTGATCAGCCCCCGCAGACGTGGCTTCGTTCATTTTTCTCCCACAGCGAACTTTATTCCCGGAAATCATCCATTGTACCTGCATCGTGAACCATTATTCATTTAGCCTATTTGCATGAGCCTTCTTTCCTACCAACACATGCGTTGTTGGCACGCGTGCATCGGGGTCGGATGGGCGGCCTGCACACGCGTGACTGTGTGTGCGTGTCCGGGGGGGGGGGGGGGGGGATCCATCGGTCAGGGAGTGGAATGTCCCAGACACAAACGTGTCAGAGTCTCTCCCCCCCCCCAGCTATTGATCATTATTGCAATGATAAGCTAGTCTTGACGTAGATCTACGTAATGAATTTTGCACTGGTCTATGGAATCAAAAGTTGTAGTATGCTAGGCTCTACACAGCAACACAACTTTTTGACAAACAATCGAGATGACACAGGCGTGCATTTGAACGAAGATAATTACAGGCACTGGGCAAGTAATGAATAAAGTATTAAAGAGAAGGCAGTCTTTTTTTTGTGTGCACAACTCAAAATATGCAGTCATTTCAGGCACCACTTGTTACTTCTCTTAATTTATACATTACTTGCTCAGTGCCTGTAATTATCTACACAAAACCTCATGTTTGCTATAACGATTCAATGAACACTCGGATTCAACGAGATTTAGGTCAGGCCCGGCGAACTCGTTGAATCCGAGTTCTACTGTACGAGCTTTCATGGGTTATTGTGAACGTAAAGGACTATAATACGTTGTCTTAGATCTATAAAACAGGGGTAAAAGGCCTTCACTAAAGATAGCCAAGGCCTTCACACTTCGCACAAGAACATTATAGAGAGCAAAAGAGAGTCAAAATCAGCTTTAACGGATTGCTAACAATGACGCCTTTGTCTCTATATATACACAGTACACATGTTTATTTTGTCACAGTACAGTGTGCTTTATTTTACACACCTACATGTTTATTTTATCCAAATGAAATTATAGATCTAATGGGTTTTTTTTAACTTAACACATTCTAGTTTTCCATGTTCAACAGATGTGTAAAACTGTGCAGTTTTTGAACTTTATTAACAAGCTTACCTCATTTGTTTCATGAATTACTCATGGGCAATAGGCTACTGGTATTATAATATATATTATATACTTCTGTTAAAAAATTATTTTTTTTAATGAGAAAGACAGTTTTTGAGCAAGCATTGCTTTGTGCTGCTCGATAAATTAAAATATACATATATACATGTACACATGTTGCATTTGTGTAAGAATTTAGATTCCAGACTTCACTTTCAAACATACCCTACCTGAAAAAAAATGTAAACCATCTGGGAATAAATTTTAATACTACCATGACATACAGGCTATCAGCTTTTCATTCGTTATGATGCAAAATTGAGCAAGAGTCGTGAACTAGGTGCGATATTAAGCAGTTATTTGTATGTATTATATTTGTAACGATGAATGCACAACTTATGATCTGTCCCCGTCGTTTTATGCAAGAAAAATTTGGAGCCCAAACTGAGCCCGAAAATGTGAAATTCTGCGATTCAGTTCATTTTAAGGGGGTGTAGCTATGGTCAACACCCAAATGCTATAGTTTTTGGTCTAATGCTTGCTTTTCTGCATCAAAGGGGGTGACATAGTACAAAAAAAGGTTACCAAGCAAATAATTCAAGATTTTAGCAATAATAATCTCGAGCCATCAAAAATAAAGGATTGATTCAGCATTTTTAAAACCAATTTTATATTTTGTCAATCATCAACACTCATCAAGATAGAAGCCTAATATTTGGCATGGCGATTACTGTTGGTAGGTAGAACAACCTTACAGAGCCAAATTTGAATGTTCTGTACTGACTTGTGAGCATTACAGTCCTTGCTATGCGCTACATTCAGGTCTCCAATGTTTTTAGATTTTGTAAAATAAAACAGGCCTGAAACTCCAAATGTGTACCATAAACAGCAAAAATGCTCCTGTAAAGTTATAGAGAAATGTGTATAAAAGATTGTGTCCAAATGTGAAACACTTCTGACAGTAACTTTCTGAGATTTGCTCAAAATAGTGTTGCAACCTGGTCAGATAAACAATTCTGAGAAAACTGCAAAGAGAGATAATTTTTGGTGAAGATTTTCCTACATTGCTACCTCTCTTAAATGCATTTTCCAGCTATTTATAAGTTTGATAAAGGAATTAGGCTTCTAAAGATGGATCCTTGATATTGATATCTATTAAGATACTCCAAAATCCGAAAACTGATATTTTTTCAAAATTTTTACTGATCTGACCAGTGGATCCCCTTAACAAAAAATGATAAAGGAAAATAATCTGAAATTATTCAAAAAATGATCAAATTTTGCTGAATTATGCGGGGTGCATAAAATCACGGGGACAAACTTATTGTGCTTTGCGGTCTTTATACTTTACAGTAATTTAATAAGGGACCGTTTTTCAAATGACGTCCGCTAAAATTTGGCTGAAAGTTTTAAATGGAACCTTTACGTGAGTCTTGTTTTACAAATATTTTGATCTGATTTATTTCAAGCTGTTTTTTTGTATTCCGGCTCCACATCTTCAAGTCAGAACATCACATTCTAAAAAAAAAACTATTTTGAGAGCATCAAGAAGACAAAGCTGTCATAGCCTTCGACTTCGCTGATGGAATGCACGTCAACTCAGAGAGGCCAACACCAGAGATCTATTCTGTCCATGTTAAGAAGAATCAGAATAGAATACATCAATCTAAATTTGTAAATTCAATTTTTATTTGTTCTCATGGGGAAATTTTGTTTACAATGGCACACACACACACACACACACACACACACACACACACACAAACACACATACACACACACACACACACACACACACACACACACACACACACACACACACACTCTTATTTGTGGGCATGCACTCATCACTTATACTCACCATAATATATAAATAAATATATATACATATGTACAATAACTTATCCACAACAATACAAGCGACACAATATCACACAAATTTCAATACTGACAATCAACACGCCTTTGCTGATGGCCACTGTGCAGCGCCCTGTTTGGTTTTTAAGTTTTGTGGGGGTTTTTTTTTCAAGCAAAGGTTCCCCTGGCATGCTTCAAGCTATCCCAGAGCTGCCATGAAGTAAACTAAATCCCGCAGTAGTGCCATAACCACATGTACTGTATACATGTACACCTAGTCTATATCAGTAGATTCATGTTCAGTACAATGTTATGTAAATGACTATGTATCCATTTATGTATTTTGCGAATTGCATTATGTATAGTATTTTATTATGTATTTTTGTATGTGCTAATTTCGTAATGGTGTGTAAGCGTGCACGTGTGATAAGCAAGTAGGTGTGTGTGTGTGTGTGTGTGTTTGTGTGTGTGTGTGTGTGAGTGTGGGTGTGTTTGGCGGGTAATGTGTGCGTGAGTGTGTGTGTATGTGTTTGTGTGCATGAGTGTGTGCGTGTGTTTGGCATGCATGTGTGTGTGCGTGTAATGTATGCATGATTAAGTGTGTGTGTGTGTGAATATTGTTCGTACATGCATTTATGTAAAGCACCTAGAGCTGTGTTCACACCGGAGTGGACGCTATAGAAATGATCTACATTATTATTATTATTATTAGTCTAGCATGCACATGGCAAAATCGACGAGAAGCAGAAGTCTTTTCATTTTGTACGAATTTTGGTGTACATGTTTTAAACAAGGAATATACATTTATATATATACATATTATGTACAAATAAAATAAAAATTCAGGATCTGGATGTTTGTTCATGAATTGCCAGTTCAGTATGTGTCTGCTTGACTGTAAAATAAATCATTAGCTGTCTCACTGCCGATAGTCCCCTGGTTTTTTTTTAACATGTATAGTAAAATGGGGGAATTCCACACCATACTTTTCAATTGGATTGTGAAACAAGAAGTGTTGTAGAAGCTATTTGTGTAGAAAAAGGACACATCCTCCACAACAGTTTTACTTTGGGTCTGATAAGTTACGAAACAAAACATAATATGAATTCTACTATATCACCATTTCAACTTAATTATAAATTTAATATCATGGGGCAATTCCACACCCACATGAGCACACATGCCAAAATGAAAATAAACGGACAGACATGACAAGAAATTATAGCTGAATTGAAAAATAAAATATGGTAGACATAAGCAAATGATTAAAGCTGAACGTCAAACAGATTTCTGTTGGTTCTAAGGGCTGTAAGTGGGGGTGTGGAATTACCCTGGGTGTGGAATTCCCCCACCTTCCCATTCATGTATTACTCTCTTCCGTCTTTTTTTCCCCAGACCATTTCCCTTCCCAACACCCTTTCTCCATATTATCATCTTCATCAATGCCTTTCACCCCTGGCAGGGTATAGGCCCATATTATTATGCATGATTAAAATACATGTATACTATGATATAAATATCCTCTGATTCATGGTCTCTTTCTCGGAAGTCCTTCCCTAAAATACAGTTAATTCACTTTCTTGTCTTCTTGTTTGTCATTTACGTATATATATATATTTCATGTATCCTAGTTCGTGTTTACATCAACCAAATAATCTTCATCAACTCCCTGATGATCACTTGTCGTCGAATTCCCCTTGTTTTCCTTTTCTGCCGGTTCGCCCTTTGTCAACTCGGCAGTGTTCTCCAATTTTGATCCCCTTGTTGTTCACCAATGATCAAATGCCTCTCTTGATCACCTTCTTGTTGTACGTTAATTGTTCGACATGGCGTTAGCGACCCCATCAGCACTGTGATGAGTTTCTGTACAAGACGGGACCTCCTCCAGTCGTTCGTCCATCTCTGATAGGACCCAACCAAACAGGCGAAGAACATTTGTTGAAACTCTCGAAACAGCCCAAGAATGTTCCACTGGGGATTCAAACCAGAGTCCTCTGCACCATAACCCAGCATGATACACTCCTGTTGTCCACTAGACACCGGGCTCTGTTCAATATCACCACTTTCTGTTGTGTCTTCCTTTACGTTCCCATCAGCTCGCACTTCTCCTTCGGGTCGTTCCTTTTCCGGTTCCACGTTTCTCCCCGCCATCTGCTCCACGCCCCCTTTGACTTTGACGTCCCTATCACCGTCTCTGCATGTTCTATCGCTCCCTGCCTCACTATCACCATCACCCTCTCTGCATGACCCATCGCTCCCTGCCTCAGCCCCAACATTCTTTTCTCCACCAACCCCAACCACCAGCCTGTCAAACTGGACCCCCTCCACCTCCTCCCCCCGAATGGATCTTCTCACATTCTCCGCCAACTCCTCGTCCGTCATCTCCTCCCCGAAGACTGGGCTCAGAGCGTCATCCACGTTGGGGTTGTGGAAGAGGAAGAGCACGGACATAATGACCCCGTCCAGACCCAGGGCTGGCGTCCAGTCCTCGCTTAGCGTGTTCACACAGATGGTAGACCCCCCTATCTCGTCGAGATCGTCGTCTGGGAGATCGATGTTGGGGTGGTAGACGCGGTTCAAACACCGCACAGTGGGGGCCTCTTGCGGGTACTCACTGTTTGCTAGAATCTGAAAAATTAAAAAAATGTATCAGTCTCTGGAGTTTTTTTTAAATGGTAGGGCCTACGTGTTTTACGGCGCTCGCAACTGCATTCGGTCATATGAGCGTGCAGGACACACCAAACATTTTCAGTTGGTAGAAATCTTGAATTTTGCCAGGGCGGCGGCCGAAACCTTCTCTTATCGGTTTTGGACCACCAAGGGATCTTAAATGTGCGCACTTGCACACTGGACCTCTGAGATTTTTCGCCCTTATCCGAGAAAGCTAGATGTAGATCTTACCTACCATAAGATCAAGGGTGTGGCTGAAGTGAAAGACAGCAATAAGAAGGAGCCAAGGAGTAGCAGAAGAGAAAGGCTGCAGGAAGAGTCAGGAGCCCTGAGGAGGGGGTAAAAACACCTTGCCTATTATTATATGGTCACTTTTAAGGACCAGCGGGTCTACCCAGATTCCGGGGGTTTCCAAAAATATTGACTTACGCCGAAAGAAAAGGAGAAGTTTGGTTTCATTGGTGTATATAATATATTTGTTTGGTTATATAGAAAACTCCTTGTTTTTTAAAGAAACCGAACAAAGGGCAGAAACTTTACCTTCGATTTTCTCAAAACAGCATTTTTCGGGATAGCCCCCTTTTGCTTAAAAGCGACCAAATGATAATGAAAAGAGCAGTACGTGATATATGTCCGGGTTTACAATGCGTGTCCCTGAAGGGAGTAAAAGTTGTGTGTATACTGATCACCACACCACCGTAACCTGCGGTACAGCGAGTGGCTGTCCATATAACGCTAGTTTAAAACAACTACACCCCCCCCCCACCCTCGCATTCAACAAATCAATCCCCACCTAAAAATATAAGCCCCACATTTTAAAAAACAACAACAAACGAACAAACATTAAAAAAAACAACACAAAACGAAACCCAACCCGAACACTCAAACAAGCAAAACATATCGCAAACAAAAGTAACTCATCGCTGCAATTAAATTAATTATTAATAAAATCGTGTAATAGAGTAAATCATTTCACCTACCGCAAATTTGACGGTAGCATCCTTGTAATGTCCGTCGTTGGGCGTGATGCTGAAGTAGATCCTGTGCTCGTCCTCATAACACACACTGTCCACGACGGCTTGCCCCGTGGTCACCCGGCTGATGTTTTTGTACAGGCTGTTGATCTCTTTGAAGATTTCACCGTCCTTGGTTGCCATCATGGGATGTCAAAGGCTGGATTAACCAACTCTCAAATAGCACCTTTGCACACGTTGATAGAAACTTCTATATTTCAAAGAACTTTCTTGAGTAAAGGGGGGAAAAAGAAAGAACTCAGAGCTTACTCCCCAAAAATGTTTATTTTATTGCCGTTTTCCTTCCTTGAAGCGCGTTCGTTTGTGAGGGATATGTAGAGCTAACCATTCAAGTGTCTTTTGAGAAGCAGCTTGCAACCACTGCAAGTCGTGTGAAATGAATATGTCTGTATTGTATCTTCCCTTTCGTAGTTGTTATATGATGTATACAAATTTACAACCCTACACCAACGTACCATTAATTTTACACAAAACAAGCATAACGCAAGTCTTCTCCCAAAGATTCGGGCAGATGTAGTATTCACTGAAAACAGGCAGCCTTCGCTTTCGCGCACATTTGAATCACATTTTGTCAATCCAACTGAACAAGCCACCGTGCTTTAGTCAGACCATCAGTTTAGATTCTTATTCATACCGAAGGAGTGCTTAGGGTCTGTACATGGTTAGCCCGCTCGCCGTTACTCGCGACTATCTTAGTCACATTCACATATTGAAAAAAACACGAGTCCAAATTGTTGCATTATTGACGCACATAATCCATGATCTATCCAGACTGCATTGCGGCTAGTGGGATTTCACTTCTCTTTTGGCACTGTTTTCTACCTCAAACCTCGTTCTTCTTGCAACAACACTAATCCTTTGCCTTGTCCGCGCTCTTTGGCTTGGTACTTATAGGCTCAAAACACGACGCTGGCTGTTGTGAATGAAATCGTATGGCAACATCAGAAGTTAATTTTAGCAACAGACAATTTTCTATTTTTAACTCTACAGATCCCAGAAAGAACTGATGCAACAGTGTCTCAATGCTTTGGGAACTCAACTTTTCAGTTGCAGCTCACTTCTGCAGCCTTTTATATCATCCAAGCTTTCATATTTACCTTTTAAAGTATATTCTTGAAAACAGGCCCAGTGGTGCACGACATTATTTATAGCGAAAGTAAAGAGGTTTTTGCTTTCCGCGAAGCAAAACTGGAACAAATCCGCGAAGTAAGGAATTTCCAGTGTGGCTTGCTTTGCAAGTTGCCACCTTGTTCCGAAAGTACGAAGTGTGGTTGGCTACGCCTACACACGACATGTATTAATTTCTCAAATTTACTTTATGTTGTTTGTTGAAGTAATGCGGACATGATCAGATGCCCTGTCCCCGGGAATCATTGTCTAGAAAAACGGAGAATTAACTGTTGGCCCACAGGCACAGATAGCATACAGCTCTGTAAACTTTCTGATAAAAAGGCGCAAACAGAATACAGTCCTCCAAACAAACAAAAAACCCTGTTGGGTTAAGAACTTTCTCGACTTTAAGGGAAGACGGGAATGAGGGAGAAGAAGAGGAAACAAGAAGAAGCCTTCATACCAGTGTTTTACACACACACACACACACACACATACGCGTGCGCGCACACACACACACACACACACACACACACACATACACACACACAGACTCACACGCACGTATATGAATACATACACTTAAAAACTGGCAGACAAACAGACAGATAGATAGACACACACACACACGAAACAAGTTTGTTAAAAGTCCGTACATTGACGAAGGCGTAAAAAACGAATATTTACTTTGACGAAGACAGTGAGTGAAAACTGCTGTTCTAGCTTAGATCTACGTTCTCGAGAGATAGTACTTTGAGATCAGTTGTGCTGGGAATGATGAGTGTGTGTTTATAAACTTGCCTTTTGTCATCTGTCATTTACTCATGTCCACGCCAGCGGGCGACACGTAAATACAATGCCTTCAAGTTTCTTGAAACAGTATGCTGGGTATGCCAATGCTTTATTCTTGTAAAACTAGGTGCTTTTCACCTTTAATTACGTACGCGAATTTGGTTTCGGGAAAAATCTCTCTCTGCTCTGCTGACCGGTCGTCAGTCATAGCTGCTCTAATCTCTCTCTACAACTACAAGTAATCTACAAGTCTCGGTATAGATTCAAGAGAAGGTCTATTATTCACAAGGCAAGGCTGCCAACTTGAAATTACTTCATTTCTGTGTACACAATGTCAATGACATTCAACAAAGAGTTGTTCTAATTAATTAGATCTACGGTAGGTTGCTTTTGTTCTGAAAAGTCCTTGTTTGTCTTCTAATCTAAGGCAAATCAACACCAATTTAGATTCTATCCACCAAAATAATGTTGGAGACACTGCATTGAGACAGCTGTTCAATACAATTCTTGTACTAAAAGGCATTCAGGCTTTGTCTTAGTACTCTTAGCATAGGCTAAGAGTTTGTTTCTAGGCCTATGATCTGTAATTTAATAATTTGCTGGCTCCCATCATTGCAACGTTTGCCATTTTAAAGCCAAGTAGGCTCCTTCCATGGCATTCTTGTGCTATCGAACATCATAACCGTTTTTGTAGAACTAGCTGCTTAACTGTGGTTGCCATGGGTTCAATAACCAAAGCTACAGCCATTTCTATTCCGGATTCAAACCAGAATTATTTTAAAGTAGATCTATAATCTAGATCTAGATCTAGATCTAGATCTAGTAATTTGATTAAATTAAAGAGGTAAATTTTTACTTTCACTCCCGCACACAGATGCACTGTTTCAGGGGTCAAACTGCTGTACTGTTTGCTGCAGATCACACATAAGGCTCCTAGAACTGTCGCAAATCAATTATTTTCAAGACAATTTCAAATCTAACTGTAAAATATCAAATTATGGGTAAAAACAGGGGGGCATGCCCCCCTGTGACCCCCCAGATTTTCTTTTACCCCAGTGGGGAAAGCCCCCCTGGAACCCCCCGATTGGCCAAAAAGCATGTCTATCTCGGTTAAAAACAATCAAATATTTCAAAAACTATTAATTTGCGACGGAAATGAAGTTGATATTCGTGTTCAGCGCATCAATTTTTAGTAGAAAATAGGCATCTGGTAGCTGAGTGTGAGACGCGAGGAAAAGTAAAAAAATACCATTAAAGACATATTTTTATCAAGTAGTGATTATTTGATTATAATATGAAATTCGATGTACTCAATAGGTTAGCTGTACTATTTTTAGCTTAATAATCCTGACTCATTCAGTAACATGTGATCCTGTTTATGTCCCCCTCCACATAAAAAATCATCCAGATAACAAAATGGTGCATTATATTTTTTTGTGAAAATCAGTTGCTCAAGTTTTATATGAAAGCTTCTGCTTGGAAAACCTGTACACATCTCTAAATTTAGCAACTCCCTCAGACCCTCGATCAAGCACACCTTTTGAGACATGAGACTTTCAGTCCCTCTGATTTAAAGGTTAGTTTTATGATGAACTCAGATCTATTTTATAGTCTAGCATAGATCAGACCTGAACACACAAAACTCAAATTTTGTGGATAGCTTGCAAGAACCAATATGCCATTCCTCGACTTAACAGCAATAAATAATATTTCCTTTGTATTGTCAGCACTGTATCTCAAACACCAGCATGGATGTGTCAATAAACTCATCTCGAGAAGCCTGATCGAATTTTTTCCTCACATTCATCTTGAATTCATCTGCCAGAACACACGGTGAAAAACAGACTCAGACATCATCACTGAGAGTATCAGGGTACATGAACCTACTTAGCTCGTTACCCCCCCCCCCCCCACAGCGTAATGCAATGGTGTGTCATTGGAGATAGACATTGTGGTAGTGCATTGAGCTGTATTGTTTGTGAATTATGTTTGTGTTAGTGTGTATGTCGGTGACCTAGTGGTTAGGCTACCGGACTCTTAATCGTGAGGTCGCGGGGTCGGGGGTTCGAGCCGCAGGTCCGACGCTGTGTCCTTGGGAAAGACACTGTACACGAATTTTCCACGCTTCACCCAGGTGGAAATGGGTACCCGGCCATAGGCAGTGAAAAATCTTGTTAGTATTTTAGCTCCTATAAATGGCTGCTTGCCCTGTATGCTTCCCAGGAAGTTGAGTTTGTTTCGGAATGCTCTCAGGTCTGCTGGGGTAATAGTATAGATTGTGAAGCGCTTAGAGCTTGCTGTTGAGCGGGGATTTGCGCCATACAAATGCTATCTCTATTATTATGTGCCTGTGGTTGTTTGAATTTGAAGGTATGGATCGGGAAATGACTGTATACAAGAGGTGGGGGTGTGTGGTGTGCTATGGTGTCAGAGAGCAAGAGCAACTTTTTCATCTTAAGCTTATTAAGGCTCATCAGCATTACTCTCTTCCCTTTTCTTGCTCCGACACTGAACAAAGCAGATGCACTATCTGTGTTTCTATCCTTTCATTGATACCAGATACAGTTACTTCCTTTGATTTTCTTAAATGTCTCTGCTCTTATTTTTCATTATCTGGGTTTACTCGAATTAAGGGTTTGTCAGAATCATTTGTCAATCTCTGATGTTTTCGAAGTATCCGTGCTCAACTGTACGGGAAGAAAGAAAATACAATCAAGGCGATTTAGAAGAGTTGCATGGTGTTGTACCGAAAGATCTGCAAAAAGGGCTAACACCTAGACTTAGAGAGCATGACAACTTTTTGTTGTCTGTCTTTTGAAGTTCCTTTGAGTAAACAAATATGTTTCCACCGTTTCCATACAATTTACAAAACAATGTTTTAAAAATTCAGCCGTTCTATTGGAGAATTAGGCTACATATTTTGAAAACTAGAGTCTATACAAGCCATCCATGATTTTGAGTTTTGCATGTTTGTTTTATCTGTGCCGTACCGGTACCGTACATACTCCTTGTGATATTTCAGAATTCGGTGAGATTTTGATTTGTACTGTTCTCTTTGTTTTTCAGAGGTCTGTCTCAGGTAGCAACGATGATGATTGTCTCGGGAGTCTTCTTCATCTTTGTCTTCACCGCTGTCTTCTTCCTCCTGCGCATTTGGCTGCGCAGACGTTCCAAGATCTTCTATGACTCCTCTGGGAAAAAGAAGAGACCATCGTTTGCTTTCTTCCACCCGTACTGCAATGCTGGTGGCGGCGGGGAGAGGGTTTTGTGGGTGGCTGTCCGCTCCATACAGAGAAGGTACTGTGTAGTGTTTTACGGTGCTGTAAAAAATTTGTTGCGCAACTTATTGTCAAGTATCTCTTCAACCATCGAGTGTAGACTCTCCAACTTTTGCACAATCATTACATATATATTTATGTCAATTTGTTTTGAGTACATTTAGTGCAATTAATGGTACGGAACAAAACTGGAAGTTATTTTTACTCCATTTTGCTTCATGGATGATGACATTTTATTATTGATCAAACCAAAATGTACTGGCTCAAGCGCATTGTTCTGAATAGGAGTGGGTTAAACTGCATGTTGTAGTGCATATTCTTAGCAGTATAAAATAAAGTGAAGAATGACGGCATCAAACTAGTTTTAAAATATGAGCAGAAACTCTGTACAGTTTCACTTGTCATTTATAAGAAGATCGTGATTATGTGTGAAGAAAACTTTTGCCAATAAAAAGTGTCATTGTCTTTTTATTTGTAATTTGAAAGTAGATGTTACACTTGAGTGTTTTTGGGGTATGTCTCAATGTTTCAGTAATTATATAATTCTTATTATAAATGTTTGTATATGAGAAAAGGACTGGATGCAATTATGCCTAGATGTAAGATTCTTAGTTTAGTTCTCCTTTCAAAGTACCTGATTTGATCCCAGGCTGGTGCCTGTATAGTTGGTCTGTTGACATCCTAGCTTCTTTCCTCAGGGTTTTTCACTCCCCTGTTGGCTGGGCAGGTAACATCAACTGTTTAGTCTTCTTGGATGTGTGTGAAAAAAACAGCAACCTAGCAATAGTTTCTTGCGTTCATTATTTGTGTTAAATGCAACTCTAGACTGCCAAAAGATTGGACCTGACCAGGTTTGATGCCAGTGAAAAATTCTTAATTGATCCCTACCTTAAATGAAGAAAGTGTGGTAGGTAGAAATCACTATATAAGAGTAAATGTAGGCCCAACATTAAACATTACACATATATCTGCCTGACAGACGAGAGAAGCTATGTTCTAAATAGAAAAAACAGCAGTATACGTAAAACTCAGTAGCATTGTGGTTTGAGGAAGGAGCTGCTAAAGATGACCCAGAGGGTACAGCAAAAACAAAAAAAACTGAAGGAGAATAAATCAGATGACAGTTCCTCATTTTTTCCCTCCCTCAGGTACCCAAATGTCCAGTGCGTCATCTATACAGGCGACGTAGACGCCACCCCAGATGAAATCCTGGCAAGAGCAAGCCAACGATTTAACATTTTTCTTCCATCTCGTGTTGAGTTTGTGTTTCTGCGTTGCCGCGGCTGGGTAGAGGCCAGCAAATATCCATACTTCACTCTGCTAGGGCAGAGCATTGGTTCTGTCTTTCTTGGCCTGGAAGCGCTGTATCAGTTTGTCCCAGACGCTTACATCGACACGATGGGCTACGCCTTCACGTTGCCTCTCTTCAGGTACCTAGGCGGCTCCCTTGTTGCCTGCTACGTCCACTACCCAACCATCTCGACTGATATGTTAGACAGGGTGACCCAGAGAGTGGCCGCTCACAACAACGCCTCGTTCATTTCGTCCAGTCCAGTTTTGAGCAGGCTGAAGATCTTCTACTACCAGCTTTTTGCTTATCTGTACGGGGTGGCTGGCAACAGAGCCAACGTGATCATGGTGAATTCCACCTGGACGTACAACCACATCATCAGCCTGTGGGGTGTGCCGGGAAAAACACATATCCTCTACCCGCCGTGCGACATTTCCGAATTCATGAAAATTCCTCTGGACAGCGATGAGGAGAAGTCGAAGCAGATCCTCTCCCTCGGTCAGTTTCGCCCGGAGAAAGACCATCCGCTCCAGATCCGTTCGTTCAGTCGCTTTGTGAAAAGCCTGGATGAAAAGGCTGGCTCGACGTATAAGCTTGTGCTTGCCGGCAGTTGTCGTAACGAGGAGGACCAGCGAAGGGTGGAGAGTCTGCACGCCCTGGCCAGGGAACTGGGCGTGGATCATCTCGTGGATTTCCGTCTGAACATCCCGTTCTCGGAGCTGAAGCAGCTCCTGGCAGAGTCGCTCGTCAGTCTGCACACCATGTGGAACGAACATTTCGGCATCTGTGAGTTGGATACTGATGTGATGTGATGATATCGCGACCTCCGTGCTTTCTTGTCGTATCTCCTTTTTTTTAACACTTTGCCACCGTATCTCCCTGATTGGCGATGTTTTCCACCCAGTTTCTTTGGATTTTCCCCAAAATATGGTGGCAAAGTGTTAAACAGTGAAAATGTGATTTCTTCTTAAGCTCACTCTTTGTTATGAACTGTTTTCACTCATATTAGAAATGGAGATACAACAAGAAAGCATATGTTTCTGTGTGTGTCCTCTGTATGTGTATTATGTGTGTGTGTATTATGTGTGTGTGTATGTGTGTTTGTATGTGTGTCTGTGTGTGTTTGTGTGCTTGTGTGTGTCTGTGTGAGTTTGTATGTGTGTCTTTGTGTGTCTGTGTGTATATTAAAAAATAAAATTTCGATGTGTGTTATAAGGAAACTTTTAATTTCTCATTTTGATCCAAACAATTACTATACAAAATTTAACTTTGTAATGTTACATGGTTTGCATCATTCATCCTGTACATTTTGTACTTGATGTTGTCAAAGTTGTTTAAAGGCTCCCCCCTCTCTCCTTGTCCTCCTCCTGTGTGTTCACAGGTCGTGGGTGGTAGGCGGGTGCTCTGGTGTGGTTTGCTCCTTCTTTCTTATCAAACATCTATCATCCTTCTCTCTCCTTCTTCTTTTTTATGTTTGTTACTCTCCTGTAACACCTCTAATCTTCGGAACTTACATCTCCTTATTATGTTGCAAGTGCCGTAAAACTCCTACGAAAACAAAAATTATGTCGTCAAAGTTGTTCAAGTGGGTGGCTGGTGGGTGCTCTGGTGTGGTTTGCTTCTTCTTTCTTATCAAAGATCGAGATCTATTGTCCTTATCTCCCCTTTTTCTTTTTTATGTTTGTTACTCTCTTGTAACACCTCTAATCTTCTGGCGCTCATATGACCTTGCCTTATGCAGTTGCGAGTTGTTCAAAGCCCCATCCCCCTGGTGTTCATTGGTCAAGTGTTTATACAAGTATAAGTAAACAGTTGTTTTTTGTTCCCTCCCACTCTACTCTCCTCCCAGGTGTTGTTGAAGGCATGGCCGCGGGGACTGTGATGTTAGCCCATGACTCCGGAGGACCCAAGATGGACATTGTGGTGACGCACAACGATCGGCCCACGGGGTTCTTAGCATCCGACGAGGAATCTTTCGCTGCGGCAATGAAGCAGATTTTCCAGATGTCGCCGTCGGAGAGGCTGGCCTTAAGGCAGAATGCTCGAGATTCGTTGTCCCGGTTTTCTGAGGAGGAGTTTGATGCTGCATTTTTGTCCCTCTGTCGGCCTGTTCTCAAGTTCCTCTCTACATAGGGCTGTTTGAAGTGTGTGACTGTGGGGGATGGGGGGAGGGGTGTGACCTTTCGGGGAGGAGGGATTGGGGTGGGGGTGACTTTTGGGAGAAGGGGGGGGGGGTATCGAGTTCCAGGTGGCTCTCTATTTGTGCCAGGGGTAGCCAGTGTTAAGAGTGATAGATAGTGGATGTAAGACGTCATCAAGTCTGTAGGCTCTACTGCCACAAGTGTTACAACCTTCTTTGAATGTTTATTTATTCATTTACTCATTAACTTTAACTCTTTATCTCCGGCAAGCTGCTCCCAGCGGCTCGCGGTTGGAGTCGCTGACAGCGGCTGGGGCACATTCCTTTACGACAACTTCGACATCAAATTACTTTTCAGCAATTGCCGAAAACAGGCCTCTTTTATCGGGAGTGCATATTTTAGATGAAGAACTATCAAAATAGGTTCACTTGTTTTGAATTTAATGACCCATTTAGTGACGTTTTTGTCATTTTTAGATTAAGTACCAAAAGAAGGGGCCCGGCATAGTGGGTTTGCCCCCCCCCCACCCCCACGGAGATAAAGAGTTAACAGCTTGTTGCTATGGAAAATGTTGCTTTTCTTTACCCTCTGCCTGCTTTAATCTTCAGATCATGTTTAAAATTGTTCTATAAATGTGGGTACCATGGCAGCAGGCCTCTTTGCAATGGTTACTGGTTGCAGGAATACTTCATGCTTGCATGTGAAGAAAAACAGCTGGCGGGTGGTTGGTGGGTGCTCTGGTGTGATTTGCTCCTTCTTTTTTATCAAACGTCTAACCTCCTTTATAATCTCTCTTCCTTCTTTTCTTTATACGTTACTCTCTAGTAACACCCGTGCTCTAATCTTAGGTTCCTATATGACCTATCTTTGTCGTAAGTGCCGTGAAACTTTCGAAAAAATTAAAAAAACTAAATGAAAACATCTGATAAAGAAGAAGTTAGAGCTCATGGTTTCATCTGGAGATGCGGGCACTGTACGTTACTCTCTAGTAACACCTGTGCTCTAATCTTGGGTTCTTATACGACCTGTCTTTGTCGTAGGAGCTGTTGAAACTTTCACGAAAATTAAAAAACTGAATGAAAATGTCTGATAAAGAAGAAGTCCCAGCTCATGGTTTTCTCTGGAGATGTGGGCGCTGTACTGTATAATATTTACTCTGTCGGCTCTATTTGCCGTGGACTTGCCTTGTCAAGCCAGATTTTAAATGCCAGCATTATGTCTCAATGAATGTGTCCTATGTATGCACGGGAAGTGTAAGGGGCTGCATGTCTTGTGTGCAGTAGAGTACAGTTTGAATGAAATGGTGGAAAATCAGAGCCGTCTGTAGATTTATATGTGAGGCATCATGGGGAAATGAGGCGCTTGTCAAAATAATGAAATTGAAGAAACATGCATTTTCCGTAAGTTTGTCAGGTTTTTTTTCAAATTTTTTTTTTTGGCTTACAATCTGTTATGTCCATATAAAAACATATTTCCATGTATGAATTTTACTGCAAAACGTTGATTAAAGGCACAAAATATGTCATTTTATTTAGTTTTCAAGGACTCTCAAGCTATTGAAGTGACCAAACTTTGGCCGCCATTTTCTCGCTTATTTTACCCTTGAAACCAGTCAACTCCACACACCGTCTTCAATCGCCACTTTTTCGACTTCTGTTCAAGAATTGTGGGTATTTTTTTCTTTAAAAGCATGAAGAACGAATAAGCTTTCCATTGATACCAATTACTACACATACTCAGAAATTGGTGAGCGCCTGATTCCACTGTGTCGTGACACATCCAGGGATGCCAAATCTGGTTTTTCAGGGTTTTTTTTCAAAAATCATTTGGCCTCCCTGAAGAAGAAGGCTTCTGACATAAGGTCCTTCTTCTCAAGACAGATATAATATTACTGGAATTGATGAAACTAAAGTCCCCCATACCCTTGTAAAGGAAAGGGGGGAGGTAAGAGAGATGTTTTTGTCTGCTCATTTAAAAACTTCACAAGGTTTGTTTTAGGTGAGATGTGATGCTTCGCTCATTTTCAGGTTGTTTTTTCAAAAATCATTTGACATCCCTGCACATCACATAAATAGCAACATTTGTGGTCACGATCCTGTTTTTGGTTGAAATATTTCTTGAAGTAAAAATGTGCAGTGCTGAATGTGGCTCCTCTGAATTTATATCTTTCAGTCTAGTCCATTAAAACAGCCTCTGTTATTACAGGAACTAAGAAGATATAATAACTGTCATAAATCAAATCCCTGTGTTTTTCTTTCTCTGTAAGTGTAAGTAATATGAACTTGGCTATAACAGGGTTCAATTTGCACAGACCCGGATATAACAGTGATCTTGCAGCGCATGAACTTGCTTTCGATCCGTCAAATTATTAAAAATTTGTCTCAACAAAGATATTTTGCCTGTTTGTATGATCTCTTGCATCATAAACACAAACTTTTAAACATACACCCCCCCATAGTGTTGGGGTCACCGATCGATTCTGTCTCAGTGTCAGCAAAACAGCCCACTGGAAAAGGAGTTGGGGTCACAGCAAAATAGCCCACTGGAAAAGGAGTTGGGGTCACAGCAAAACAGCCCTCTGGAAAAGGATTTACTGTAATCGAATATATAATTATATAGTAAGCTTAAGGTGCAATGGTACTGGTAGTTTCCCTTGATAACGGTTCTAACTGGACTCGCTTATAACAGGGGAAAACTACCGGTCTTGTCTGTTCTGTTATATCCGAGTTTGACTGTATGTATAATGTATGTATTCGTGTGTATTGGTACATCATCCAGGGATGCCAAATCTCTGGTTTTTCCGGCTTTTTCTGGGTTTTTTCCTACACTTGCAAAGGAAAGAGGAATGGTAAGAGAAAAGTTTTTGTTTTCTCATTTAAAGATTTTTCAAGGTTCGTTTTAGGTGAGGTGTGATGCCCCAGCTCGTTTTCCTTTTTTTTTTCTTCAAAAATCATTTGGCATCCCTGATCATAAGTCTCTGCTGTGTGACAGGAGAGTGGCACTGGCTGCTTGTTCTTTGGACGCGCACTGTTAATTATTTCTGTCTAAGTTTTCATTTCTTCTCGGTTGAAAATAAATTATGATATAATTCAAACGAGCAACTTTGTTCTCATTATTCACATTCACAGCTCAATACTCACGGCTATAAATGTTTGGTTTGTGGGTGGTTGACGGGTGCTCTGGTGTGGTGCTTCTTCTTTCCTCTCAAACATCTATCGTCCTTATCTTTCCTCCTTTTTTGTGTTTGTTACTCTCTTGTAACACCTCTAATCTTCATTATATGACCTAATTGTGTTGCCAGTGCCGAAAAACTCTTACTAAATTTAATCTAAAAACTATGTGTAACGCTCTATAAAAAGTGCAACTCCTGCACAAGGAGACCGAAGGCCCTTGCTCCTTCATCAAAGAGATGCAACGTTCTTTAAAAAGTGTAACATCCTACATCAAAATGTGTAACTTTCTTATAAAAAGTGTAACTCCTTCATCAAAGAGGTGTAACTTACTATAAAAAGTGTAACTCTTTCATCAAAGGAAGGTGTAACTTACTACAAAAAGTGTAACTCTTTCATCAAAGGAAGGTGTAACTTTCTACAAAAAGTGTAACTCTTTCATCAAAGGAAGGTGTAACTTACTACAAAAAGTGTAACTCCTTCAAAGGAAGGTGTAACTTTCTGCAAAAAGTGTAACTCCTTCAAAGGAAGGTGTAACTTTCTGCAAAAAGTGTAACTCCTGAGAAAATCGAAAGAGATTTTCTTTCACTTTCCTGAAGGTTAAAAGATTTTCTTTTACAACGTACTTTGCAGAAAGAGATTTTAAAAATTACCTCACCTACTGTTGAAAGAGATTTTCTTTTACAATTAATTATTAGATATATACCTTTGTGAAATGGATTTTCTATTCCTTTCTTAAAGATTTTCTATAAGATAATAAAGAGGGCCCTGCTTTGAGGTGGCCAACTTTTATTGGCTTCATAAAGTACAGATTAAAAAAACAAAACTGTACAACTTTTTTTGCTAATATTTTCCTCCACTCTGAAGTTTTACGCTTCAAATTTGAACACAACATTCGGTAGGCAAAAAGAATTTGTCTGATACTCATTTTTAGAAAAATCCGCTGAACAGTTTTGCTGTGTTCATATACAGCGTGTTAAAAAAGAACCCATTTTCAGCTTTGTCCCAAATATTTTAGCTTGACGCACTAGTTCTCATTAGGCCTATCACTTAAAATCCCAACGATTGAGCCATATAACATACTACAGTGGTCTTCACAGGCCAACAGAAGTTTGCAGACAGCTTTTCACAAGTTTTCTTTGCTTGCTGAGATCATGGTTAAGATAAGTAAAGAGCAGATAGCTTTTTGTGTTGAACATTTCCTCATCACCAACTCATTTCGCAAGTTTTGCACAAGGTACGGAAAAAATGTCAAAGTGCCCTTAAGGCCTTCTTCGATGTCAAGGGCGGAAATGTTCCATCAGTTATTACCTGCAGTAAATGAGAACTAAAAATTCCCGGAAAAAAACGACCACTTTGGGTCAAACATACACTGTTCGTACCCCTTTAAACGTCACCAGGTCGCAGAAATCAGTAGCTGAGCCCCGTGTGATGAGACGTCTGTCCGTAGACGATGTCTACTGCAATAACTTTCCTCCATCTCACCTATCCACATCAGGCTGATCTTCATCTACGACTGTACCATTCTCCAATTTGGAAGCTATCTGAGGATAGCAATGTGTTCATGATTCCTCGATCGTCTTGAAAAGCGTGAACATTTCCTCTATGACATTTGTTCCTTGGCAAAGCCCATAATCACCTTTCAGGTTATATCAACTCCTCAAATGTTGTCTATTTGGGCAACCCCACCCCTCCCTCCATTGTTTCTAGAAACCGCTCCATACTGTAAGGTGTACCGTGTGTGTGGCTTTGAGTACTCATGGTTGAGTGATTTCTTGTGCTTGGCTACTGTTGAACTTTACGAACGACGCATTAAAATGTGTCTAGTCCAAAGGAGGATAAAATATACAGACCACTGGTTCTTGGAATTCCACAATTTAACAAATATTTTTAAATTCTGTAGCAGAAAAAAATATTGTTTTAAGGTAACAGATTAAACTTTAGAAATAAAAGGAAATGAAAAAACAAATCAATCATTTCATGACTTTCATTACAAGATCTTTTAAATTGGTGCATTTTGCATTTATGTGATTTTTATAGAAGCCATTTTCGGTTTTAAAAATATGTTTCTCTTTTTTTTGTGAACTTTCTATCAAACAGATTCCTTTTGAATGAATTATACTTATCTATTCCGAATGACAACTTCCTTGTACAAATTTTGTGCGAGATATTTAAAAATAAAATTTGTACATTTTTTTTTATCACCCTGTATGATAACGTTGTAGTTGATGGCGCCTTTGGGAAAGGGGGGGGGGGGCTCCGTCTTCTTTTACTGTAACCCCCCCCCCCCCCCCCTCCCCCATCTCCCATTCCTTCATCAGGTCACTCCTGTCTATCTGTATGTCTGTCTATCTGTCATGATGTCTTCCTCTTTCACTGAGCAATAACAAAGGCAATCTGCAATTTATGTAGAAGAATATCTCTTTAAAAGCAAAAAGTCTTTGCACCCCTTTAGTCCCTGCAACCTCCTAAATTCTGACCTATCCCGAGAATGCCAAGCCCAAAGAGAGAAACATTATATAGTAATTTTGTTACCCTGCTAGAAATAGACTTGCAGAAACTTATTTTCTGCATGTCATTGTTTACAATTAATTAGAGTAATTTTGTTACCCTGCTACACAAAAAGGCTTGCAGAAACTTGATTGATTATTTCTGCATTGAATCGTTTCCTATTTGGAATAGAAAGGGGGAAAATAATATTATGGTTTCTATTAGCTGAAAGTTTTAAAAGCAACACAAGCGAAATGCAGCATGGTTTTTTACGAATAATTGTATATGTGTGCACTGGTGCGCATGTAATAATATTTAATGCTCGCGCGTGTGTGTGTGTGTGTGTGTGTGTGTGTGCGCATCGGTTTTATGCTGTCTCACGGTGCATGGTGTAAAACCTGTCGTGAACTGAGGCCTGCTTTCGACGAGGTTGTGAAGTATGATGGCAATTTGGTAGCCCAGGGTAAGTTCAGTCTTCGGTTCAGTCAATTCAACATCATCATGTTAAAAAGAAGGGGCAAGGCAGCAACTGTGTCAACATGACATGACCCCGTTTCACAT